CATACAGTCTTTAGATGTTTACCATTGCCGATCCAGTGTCATTCCTTTAACTAATGTTCCTCAATTTATCATATTCAACTTGCACTTCATACCATCAAAGTTTGCTTTATTTAGATTCAGGACCCTAGTCTCAGAATCAACTACATCACTCTCCATGTTAATGAAAAATTTTCATATTATAGTCACTCTTCCTATTACGGGCCTCACACAACCAGATCACTAATTATTCTTTCGTAAGTACTCAATACCCAGTCCAGAATGGCTGTTCTCCAGTTGTTTCTTCAACATATTGTTCCAGAAAACCATCTCATACACACTCCAGGAATTCCTTCTGTACGACATTGGACAGATCAAGTCTATTTGGTTCACATTCCTAGTTGCAGGGTAACCAAGTCTCCATGATTCCAACTATATCATACTCACTTATACCTAATTGTGCAATTAATTCATCCACTTTCTTGTGAATGCTCCACACATTAAGACACAAGGCCTCAAGGCAGTCTATTTAACATGCATTTTGCGCTATGCCTATGTTTGATTCTTGCCCTTGAATTCTCTGTCAATTTCCTTACTTTCCCTTCTGTCTTTTGTTTTTGCCCTCATTTCTCTCTTTTCTGTTATTCTGTATAGGTTCTCATACCACTGCCATTTTTGTTTAAACCTTCACCAACCACTCTGGCAAGTACACGCCCTAGGACATCAATTCCAGTCCTGTCCAGATGATATTCACTCAGCTTGTACTGGTCCTAATGTCTCAGGGATCTAAACCCCATCCCTGTCCCTTTGCAACTTCTGCAGCTACATTTTCATCTGATATATTCTGCTAGTTCTATTCTGACTGGCATGTGGCATGACCGGAGATCCTGAGATTACCACCATTGAGGTTCTACTTTAGCTCACTTGGCTGCATGACTGGATGGTGATGCCAACAGCATGGGTTCAATTTCTGCACTGGCTGAGGTTACCATGAAAGACTCTCCTTTTCAACCTATCCCCTCACCTGAGGGGATCAAACCACCACCAGTCATCTCCTTCTGTAGTGAGAGAGCAATTCTAGGGTCTGGTGACTTTACCTTTTTATTTTTCCTAACTCCCTACTTTGTTCTTATAGGACTTCAGTATGACGTCAGTATCATGACCACTGGCTGTTCACCCCATCCTCTCCAGAACATCCTGAAGCCATTCTGAGACATCCTTAACTCTTGGCCCCAGGAGGCAACACATCATGCTGCAGTCTCATTTGCAGCCACTGAAAACATTACCCTCACGACTGAATCCCCTATTACCATAGCCTTTGCACATTCATTCCTTCCCACCCAGACAACAGAGCCAACCGTGATGCCTTGAATTTGGTGTTGCTACTTTCCTCTGAGATGTCATTCCCCCCAACATTATCTAAAATAGTATATCTGTTTTGCAGGAAATGGCCACAAGGATTCCTGCACTGGCATTCTAATGCTATATCTCTGCCTGGCAGTGATCCATGATATTCCCAGCCTCATGGATGCTCCACAGTATCCTCAACAGCTGCTCCAGTTCAGAAATGCAGGCTTCCAGGAGCGGAAGCTGGAGACTCCTGCATATGTTCTGGTCTTGGACATCAGAAATGTGTCTAACTTCCTACATAGAGCAGGAGTATACTATAGCCTTGAACTCTCCTTTCATGACTTACCCATTTAAATTGAATCCTAACATTGCCCTTAAAATCAAATAATATCAATTTCTCTAGGGCCCTCAGCACTTTTTTCTTACAAACTGTAAACTCAATAAAAAGTGTTTACAAACTATCAGTGATAGAATTTGTATAAATGCTGACTCAAAGTCAGAGACAGACCCTTTGGTTCAACTCATACACATCAACCAAACATCCCAATCTGACCTAGTTCCACTTGCCAGCATTTGGACCACATCCCTCTAAACCTTTCCTATTCATATAAGCATCCAGATGCCTTGTAAATGTTGTAATTGTACTTGCTTCCACCACTTCCTCTTGCAGCTTATTTCATAAATGCACCACCCTCTGCATGAAAAATTACCCCTCAGAGACTTTTTAAATCTTTCCCCTCTCACCTTAAACCTATGCCCTCTGGTTTTGAACTCCTGTACCCTTGGAAAAAGACCTTAGCTATTCACCCTATCCATGCCCCTCGTGGATTTTATAAACTTATAGGTCACTCCTCAGCCTCTGACTCTCCAGGCAATGAAGCCCTCCAGCCTATTCAGCCTCTTCCTATAACTCAAGCTCTTCAGTTCCGGCAACATCCTTGTAAATCTTTTCTGCACCCTCTCAAGTTTAACAACTTCCTTCCTATAGAAGGGTGACCAGAACTGCATGCAGTATTCCAAAAGCGGCTTCACCGATGTCCTGTACAGCCACGACATGATGCCCCAACTCCTATACTCAATGCACTGACCAGTGAAGGCAAGTGTGCCAAAAACACCGCCTTCACCACCCCTTCAACCTCGACTCCACTTTCAAGGAACTATGCACCTGCACCACTAGGTCTCAAGGCAATACTCCCTAGGGCCCTATTATTCATTGTATAACCTTACCTGGTTTACCATAACAAAAATACAACACCTCACGTTTATCTAAATTAAATTCCATCTGCCACTCCTTGGCTTATTAGCCCATCTGATCAAGGTTCCGTTGTACTCTGAAATATATTTTTCACTGTCATCTCTGCCACCTATTTTGGTGTCATCTGCAAACCTACTAACCATGCCTCTTACATTCATTTCCAAATCATTTATATAAATGACAAAAAGTAATGGGCCCAGCAGATGGCACACCACTGGTCACAGGTCTTCAGTCAGAAAAGGAACCCTCTACCACCACCCTCTGTCTCCTACCTTCAAGCCAATTTTGTATGCAGTTGGCTAGCTGTCCCTGGATCCCAAGTGATATAACCTTACTAACTAGTCTACCATGCCGAATATTGTTGAAGGCCAAGGTGAAGTCCATTTAGACAACGTTGACTGCTCCATCTTCATTAATCTTCTTTGTCGCCTCTTCAAAACAATTCAAGTTAGTGACACATGATTTCCCAAGCACAAAGCTGTGCCGACAATCCCTAATCAGTCCTTGCCTTTCCAAATGCATGTAAATCCTGTCCTTCAAACTCCCCTCCAACAACTTGCCCACCACTGACGTAAGGCTCATTGGTCTATGATTCCTCGGCTTTTCCTTAACAATGGCACCACGTTAGCCAACCTCCAGTCTTCCAGTACCTCAACTGTGGCTGTTGATGATACTAATATCTCAGCAAGCAGCCCAATAATCTCTTCCCTAGCTTCCCACAAAGTTCTGGGACACATAAAATCAGATCCTGGGGATTTATCTATCTTTATTTAAGACCTTCCTAACTTCCTCTTCTGTAATATGAACTATTTTCAAGACATCATTATTTATTTCCCCAAGTTCCATAATTTCCATGACCCTTTCCACAGTAGATACTGAAGTGAAATATTTGTTTAGTTTCTCAACTATTTCCTGTGGTTCCACACATGTTGAACTTCAAGGGCCCAGTTCTCTCCCTGGTTACTCTTTTGCCCTTAATGTACTTACAGAATCTCTTTGGAGTCTCCTTAATTCTATTTGCCAAGGCTATCTCATGTCCCCTTTTTGCCCTCCTGATTTCCCTCCCAAGTACTACCGTCCTTACATTTCCTCTTGTGATTCACCCAATCCCAGCTGCCTATACCTGACACATGCCTCGTTTTTTTCTTGACCCGAGCCTCAATTTTTCTAGTAATCCAGCATTCCCCACACCTACTAATCATGCCCTTTGCTTTAACAGGAACATACTGTCTCTGAACTTTGATTATCCTATTTTTAAAGGCCTCCCACTTACCATCCATTCAGTTACCAGAAAATAGCCTTCCCCAATCAAAAAAAAAACAGCTGGGGGCCATAGGAACCAAAGCGATAGTGAGAAAAGGGGACTGGGATATCATTGCTATTACAGAATTATTTTTTCTTTTCGTTTTGGCTCAGGGATGGAGAGGACTGTCAGCTTAAAGTTCCAGATGCTGTAGGAAGGATAGAAAGGGAGGCAAGTGAGGAGGGGGAGTGGCATTTTGGTAGAGGGAGCATATTCCTGGGAGACTGTCCAATGAAAATTATATGGGTGGAACTGAGAAATAAGAAAAGGATGGTCACTTAGTTCGAATTGTATTATAGGCCACCCAGTAGTCTGTGGGAAATTGAGAAGCAAATATGTAAGGAGATCTCAGATATCTGTGAGAATAATAGGGTTGTAATTGGAGGGGATTTTAACTTTGCAAACATAGACTGGGACTATCACAGGGTTAAGGGCTTGGATGGGGAGGAATTTGTTAAGTGTGTACAAGAAAACTTCTTATTCAATATGTAGATGTAGCTATTAGAGAATACTTGACCTTCTTTTGGGAAATAAGGCAGGACAAGTGACTGAGGTATCAGTGGGGGTGTACTTTGGAGCAAGTGGTCGTAGTTCTATTAGTTTTAATAAAATTACCAAGAGAAAATACTGAATAGAGATATCTCCTAAAATATTTAACATTTTGTTTCAATTCAGTGAAAGACATCTCTTTTATAAAACTGAGAGGAGTTAGTGTTCCAATGCATTTAATTATGAAAAGAAAAAATATGAGGTTTTGTCCAAAATTCCTGACACTACAGTTTCATGGTTCCTGCATTTACTACCTGAATTATAAGGGAAAATTATTACTGGGAACAGTCCCACATGGTAGTTGGTTTAGCACCGTTTGGAAGCCTGCTGTCAAGTCAGGAAGTGGTACTTGGCCAATCAGAGCATTCCAAGTTAACATTAACATTTTCCTGACAAAAGTTTCTATTATTTTAATTCAGTTTTGAGTTTCTGGGTATTTCTAATATATATTATCTTGGGTCCTATTAAAAGACACTGGAACACGAGTAATTTACTTGGTGAATGCTTAAATTTGATGCATTTTTTATATTCAGTTAATAATTACATCATTTTTCTCCTATTTAAAAGGTCCTAATATCAGAAGGTCTTGGACGATATGCAAAAGATCCAAAATTTGTTTCAGTTACTAAACATGAACTTGCAGATGCCTGTGATATGACCATTGATGAAATGGAAAGTGCCGCGAGCAATTTATTAAATGGCAATCTTCATAATGGAACTAGTGGGGATGTGTTTCCTGTTAGGAACAGGTGTGACTATGAATTACAAGATTATTACCCAGGATACAGTGATGAGGAGACAGACACTGGGATATATGAAGAGGACCTAGGTGATGAAATGATATGCATCACCACTTTATAGCATATATTTAATGTGGAAAACTCAATTGTAGAAAAATGATGGGAGTGCCTCACAGTCAAGGAATTCTTACGGCACTAGATAGATGAAGTGACCAATAGAGTTTCTTCCAAGTGATAGCACAATGGTCCAAACTGATGGCAATCTGATCCTGTAACCTCCGTTTGTCCTCTGATACAGCAGTGTGATATGATCAGAACATGGTCATTCTAAATAAGTATGAAACAGTCAAAACCTAACAGCAAGTAAGTCATTGAAGACCAAGAAGGAAAATCTTAAAATGAAGTAAAGCCACATTTTTACCATTCAAGGCTATTGTTTTTCCTCGGTCAGAATGTCATACAACTTGTAATGTTAAAGGAAGCATTGTATTATTTCTATGACTGCAAAAGGTGAAAGGGAAGTTATTACAAAGGTGATGACAATCAAGGATGACAGATGTCATTACCTCAGAAATACATTTGGATTTACGGTTGAAAGCAAATGTTAGCATATCAAAAGATTTGAAACCATCAGACATATCTTTTCACTTCAAGTTTGTCATGCAAATATGAACCATTCTGAACAACTTTTTAAAATCCAAGCAGATCTGAAAAAATATCTTTTTTTAAGGGGGGTACGGAGGAGTACAAAATTATTAGTGTTTTTTTTTCTGAAATATTTTGAGAGTTTACATAGGATATATCATTTTTGTCTTACTGCATTATCTGCTGTTGTGGAGAGAAAACCTAATTTTCTTGTTAAGAAAACTCTGGTCAACCTACATTGGAAATGGCATTCATCTCACTTTCAAAGTTAATTAAAAGTAGTTTCCTTCAGTTGCAAAGTAGAGAAATTGTATATGGTTGTAACATAAAGATAACAAATTTGTATTTGTAAAGAGATGTTCTATATTTTGTAGTTCTGGTACTGTAACTGATAATCAGCAATATTTATGGTTCCAAATTATTGTCACTTATTCTATAGATTACTGTTATTTTTTAATAGGAGTACAAATTCATAAGTAAATGTACTGATAGAGCTGCCTTTTATTTGAGTATGATGCAAGTTTAACTTTAGAGTTTGTGCAAAGTCTGGAGCCAAAGGAAAATCTTTGGCAAGCAATTATTAATTAAGGTAAAATGTAAAAACTAACTTTACACAGGATATGCAAAGATGATTTACTTGCACTCTTACTTGGAATGACTAATATTTAAAAATATTTAAATCTTTAGTACATCCATTTTTTTCCTAAATCATTTATAGCATCTGAAAGTTTTCATTGCAACACTCATTTTACTAAAAGCTAGTTTACTGAAATAACATCATTTGACATGAATTTCAACCTGCAAAATCTGAGCAGCTCCTTTTAGTTTTTTTGATCTGGGTGGTTTTAGAAACACAATCTGATTTTTGCATATCTTGTTTAACACTTTCTCATTTGTAGAACAACTTGCAGTCAAGATGTATAATTCTGTTATCCACTGAGGTTAGCTATATATTTCTGTTAATGTAATTATTAGTATTCCCAATTCACTGCTGAGGGCTATAACTGCATGCATCCCAAGATAAAGTTCCTTTTGTGACTGTCCTTCAAATGACATTTATCAACATATATGTCAGTAGTCTCAGTTTAGTTTAAACTAAACATGCCCATTTATACACTTTACTTCTAATGCACAAAATACTTCACAGAGCAGGTCTTTCTGAATTATCCAACGATGCTTTTTTGCTATGTACGTTTTCAGAATTTTTAATATATATTTTAAATGATGGCCTGTTTAGGTTGCAGGTACATCATGAGTAGCAGCCACTAAAATCTTTTAAACTGTATGCATTTTTAAACACTTCTATATATTCTATTAGTAACAAAAACTAAAACAAGATATTTTACCTCAGTCAGGGATATATAGGGTTTTAAACTATTTTTATTTCATACCCAGGGTATTCTTGATCTTCAGCATGGTGGAATAGCAACCTATGATTGCACAACTCTTTCCTTGTGCGCAATCTTCATGACTACTTTTATATGAAGTAAGCCTTTTGTGTAGTATGGTATTTGTATATTCAGTTTCTAAGGTTGATTATTTTGTGATTGTACGTATGGTACAGTAAGGTCTGTATATGTATTTTCCATACCACCATACCATAGTGCTGGAAATGTATATACACACAGTGTATATTTCTGTAAGACAGCATTGGAAATATATTGGCATTGAAACTCAAGTAAAATCAAGTTAATTTCTCATGAAACAAGGCTGAACTGTCATTACTGTGAAAATTATAGGTGACCCTTGGTCTTTCAGTACTTTTCCTTTAGTCCTAAAAGAATTTGCTGTTCTTCACATTACATCATTATAAATTTATTTTTCACAAAAATACAGAAGTAAATATTTAATTAGATTATAGCTTTTGTAATATTTGTTCTTGCATATCTTTACCTGTCATGTACAATGAATTTTTTCTGACACGCCTACCACATCTTAAATATTGAAAGTGCTGGAGATGATCAGCAAGACCGGCAGAATCTATGGAGAAAAGAAGTTAGCATTTCAAGTCCAATGACCCTTTGTCAGATGTCACTGGACTGGAAACATTAACTGTTGATCTCTCCACAAATGCTGTCAAATTTTCTGAGTTTCTCAACATTTTGTTTTTGTTTCTGCCACATCTGATAATTCTTTAAGGTGTCTGCTATTGCCTAACTCATATTTGGGTTGTACACACTATAACTTAATTTGTCTTAAGGAACAGAACGCATTGATAAGTTTTCCTGTATAAAATAAACAAGTAATTAAAGTGTGTCCCAGAAATTTGCCATTTGCTACATAGCACATGGTACTTCAAATGTTGAACATTACTTGTAAGTTAAGCATGCACAAAAACAATTAAAAGTGATGCAGCCGTTTAAGAATACTGTTTGGTTTAATTTAGTATGGTTGAATTTATTTTAATAGGCCCAGGAGGAAGACACTTTCGAGTCCGATATAACTCTTCTTCGTAACTTCATCATTCCAAAAAAAAAGTCATAATGAACTTCAAAAATTAACTAAATCTCACCACAGATGCTACCAGACCTGCTGAGTTTCTATTTCATATCCCTAGCATTTACACAGTGCTTTTATATGTGACACTAAGTCGTCTAGAGACATATTTAGTCAGATGATCAAAACCTTAGGTTTTAAGGAGAGTATTAAAAATGGAGAGGTAAAGAGGTACTAAGGTAGAAATTCCGGAGCTTCGGGCCAAGGTCAGATAAAAGCCCACTGTCAGTGGTGCAGCTATTAAAATCAAGGATGCTCAAGAAGGCAGAATTTAAACTGTGCAAATATCTTGGCAGGTTGGAAGGCAGAGTAAGGCCATGTTCTAGTTGAAACAGTTTAGCAATTTTATGATTTTAAAATTCTTAGTTGAAGTGGTGATTTGGACGTTACTAGAAAGAATTCTGAGGGACAGACTATATCAGCATTTGGAAAGATTCAGATTAATCAGCGATAGCCAACAGTGACCTATTAAGAGAAGGCTGTGCTTAACATACGTGATTGAATTTTTTGAGGAGGTATCAAGAATGTTGCTGACGGTCATGCATTTGACATATTCCATTTGGACTTTAGCAAGGCTTTAGATAACATCCCTCATAGTAAACTGATCAAGAAAGAGCCCATGAGATCCAAGGCAAAGTGGCACATGGGATCTAAAATTCGCTGAGAGGGAGGAAGCAAAGGGTGATGGTAGAGAGATGTTTATGTGACTGGAAGTCTGTTTCCAGTGCAGTTCCACAGGGCTCTGTGCTAGGGAATTTGTTGTAACAATTTAGATTTAAATGCAGGAGATATGATCAAGAAGTTCACAGACAATATAAAAATTGGTAGGGTGGTAAATAGTGAGGAGAATAGCCATAAACTGCAAGAAAATATCAATGGACTGGTCAACTGGATTGAGCAGTGGTAAATAGAATTCAACCAGAAAAGTGTGAGGTAATGCATTTGGGGAGGGCTAACAAGGCAAAGGATTACATTGTGAATGGTAGGACCTTGGAAAGTCCATTCAATCTTTGGTATCTATGGATTTGCTACCCACAAATCTGCATTTTTGTGAGGTAAACCTCAGAATCCATTCTGAATTCTTTCAGAGGCTTTGAGCCAAACCAAAAAGATTTAAAACACCTCCAAAAAAGCAGGTATGTGTACAGATGTATTCCTCCACACATACCTCCTGCACCATCTGGGTGTGAGCATTCATTAATGCTTTTAGAGCAACAAAGGGCATGTTTATGTTTATTTGGTGGGCGTACTGGATACATAGGTAGTATGTATGTAGATACACTTAGTAGTATTCACTTTTTTTTTGTTTTATATAGGAAGTCAGTTCCCCCATTCCTCTTGGGTAATGAGGACCAAGTGTACTGAAGATCAAAGACACCTTGGTGTGCGTATCCACAGATCCCTGATGGTAGCAGGACAGATAGATAAGATGGTTAAGAAGGCATATGTGATACTTGTAGTCTATGCTTCGGCTAACAAATGCAAGAACAAAGAAGTTATGCTGGAACTTTGGTCAGGGCAGAGCTGGAGTAGTGTTATATAATGTGTACAGTTCTGACCACTACATTAATGGAAGGATATAACTTCACCCTCTCTAGTGAAGAGAAAATTTACCAGGATGCTGTCAGGGCTAGAGGGTCTGAACTATGAAGGAAGACTGGATAGGCTGGGGTTGTTTTCTTTAGAGTAGTGAAGACTGAGAGGGGACCTAACAGAGGTGTGTAAGGTTATGAAGGCTGTAGCTAGGGTGGATAAAGCGTTATCCATTAGCAAACTGGTCAATAACAGGGGGCCATAGGTTCAAGCTGAGATGTAGAAGGCTAAGAGGAGAGTTGAGATGAATTTTTTTTCACTCGGACAATAGTGGGACTCTGAAATTCACTGTCTAAAAGAATGGTTGAGTCAAAAACTCTTGACATTTAAGTAGCATTTGGATGTTCACATTCACTGCACTACCATAGTCACAAGGGCTATGTACCAAGTGCTGGAAAATGGGATTAATGTAGTTAAATCTTTATTGACTACACAGATATGATAGACCAAGTAGATGTTTACAGCATAGAAGACTGAGTCAAACTTTTCTCAACAGTTGAATATCTGAATAAGGCTACAGCAGTTCCGGTTAAGCTATTATAAATCAATCACAAGTTTGGATATTAACAAAGGGGTTATGCTATACATGTATTTTGCATAACTGATGCATAAGCAAACCAAAGCCCTTTTCATTTTGCATAGGTTTGAACAAATGATATCAGACATAACATCAGAGACAATATTAAGTGAAATACATGATATTTAATGTGATTAACTAACTAAATGAAGGAAAATTTCATTGAAAGTGAAAGGATGCAAGATATACATTAGGTTCAAAAATGTTCTATTTTGTACCAATTACGTCATTAACAAAAATTTGGGGGTTTTCCCCTTTTATTGAGTACAATTTTAAATATTCTACTTTTAGTCCATTGGTGAAAAATATCAACTTTAGGAGAGAATTTAAATGTGTATCACCTTTTCATGGTTGGAAGTTTAAGATTTGTGTTTATAAACAGGAACATCCTTGTCACAGAGCACTGGACACCCTTTGATGATGTCAGCAGCCTTCTCAGCCAACATGATTGTGGGGGCATTTAAATTGCCACTAACAACACTTGGCATTATAGAAGAATCAACAACCCGCAGGTTCTCCACCCCTATAACTCTAGTCTCAGGGTCAACAACTGCCATGGGATCAGAAGGTTGGCCCATTTTACAGGTGCACGATGGATGGTAGGCACTATCAGCTTTCTCTCTCACAAAAGAATCAATTTCCTTATCTGTTTGGATATGGCTTCCAGGTGTGATCTCTGGACCACGGAATCTATCAAATGCCTTTTGAGCAAAAATTTCCCTGCTTAGCTTCACTGATTCACGGAGTTCCAGGACATCAGTTTCTGCAAAAATGATCAATTACTTCAATGAGACAAGAAGTTAAAACTAAAAGTAATTTGAGACAAATATGTAAACATAAATCAGAAGCATATTTTGTTCTAAATGAATGTGTTTTATCCACTAAGAGCAAAATTCTGCAACTAAGACTTTCTTGTCAAAATTCCTTAGAAGAACTCTTTTTATGTTGAAACATTTCCTTTGGAAGGGTCAAATATGGAAGTGATTCCCATTTCAGCACACATGGGACCCAGAGTGGTATTTTGCTGGTCTAGCCCATTCCCAACAGTTTTCAGCCTAATCAGAGGGCCAGCAGCTCAGTGGAGCCATTGCTACCAGTAGTGGCAATTTCAGAGGATCCAGATGTATGAGGAGGTGCACTTCACTGGCAGGGCACCCTTGAAGAGATTTCAGGTAAATTAAGGAAGTCACAATTGGAATTAGGGGTATCATGCAGTACTGGCAACACTGATGTCACAGTGGCAGCCACTGTCTCCAAAGACCTTTTCATGGGCCAGGATGTGCACATAAAGCGTGGCCCTCATCCTGAGCCCTGGCTATTGGCTGACCACCAGCTTTTGCTGAGTTGTCACCACACTCCATCAGTTTTTCACTGCTGGCAAAATGGCAGGACATCAATTTCCCAACTACCCCTCCTCTCCCTTCCCGCACCATTCAGCCAGCCTTTCCATAAATGGCCTAAAAAAATTCCAGCCATTGATGCTAACCAATGCTGAGAAAACCACAATGGTTCATATTTTCAAGTAAATTCCACTTTTTAAAAAAAAGTAGGTTATTTATAGTTTATGCCATGTCACCAAATGTAAGAATAGTGATTTTTTAAAAATTCATTTACAGGATGAGGGCATCGCTGGCTAGGCAGCATTAATTGCCCATCCTTAATTGTCCAGGGCAGTTAAGAGTCAACCACATGGCTGTAGGTTTGGAGTCACATGTAGGCCAGACCATGCAAGGACGGCAGTTTCCTTCCCTAAAGGACATTAGTGAGCCAGATGGGTTTTTCCAACAATCGGCAATGATTCACGGTCATCATTAGACTATGAATTCCAGATATTTATTGAATTCAAATTCCACTATCTGCCATGGCAGGATTTGAACCCAGATCCCCAGAATGTTATCGGGGTCTCTAGATTAACAGTCCAGTGATAATACCACCAGTGATAATGCCATCACCTCCCTCTTTAATTTGACTGTAAAATAGAAAAATATATCTACCTGTAGATAAGTAGTTTGGTTCAATAATTGGATGGTCTGTGGGGTTTGCACTCTTGAGCTTCATCCAACCAACACTTGTGGGTCTCATTGGGCCCACGTGAACCTGATAAAAGAGTCAAATAAAATATTTTGAAGAACTCAAAAGATCAGCTTGAAGGTACACAGTACTCCACAGTAGGCCATGTTTTTGATAAGATGTCAGCTAAGGAAATAATGATTCAATAAAAATACACAGACGGGGTTCTGTGCCCAGTAGCAAACTAAGCTTCAAACATCCTTTTAAACACAAAACACACCAAATACATGAAACAATGAAAATCAAAATAGGTGAGCCTTTGGTGATAAATCACTGAGCCAAGTCCATAGACAATTTTAATCTTGTTACTATCTCTGTTAGATATTAACAGCAAACTTGGAAGGTTTTCCATTGGTATGATAAGTCTTGTGTAAAGGTCTAATTAGCTTTCAACAGATTACACAAAATTCACTCATTTAACCATTTTTGCTCCATTAAATGTTCTCTTCCCCTTTTGTGTGTGAAGCATTTCAGATTACTGCTTAGCTCAGAGGATCAATGGGCTATGCACCAAACTGTCTTTATCCAATCTTCTATTCCATGTTAACCTAATTGACATTGATCAATTTGACGTAATGTTCTGGCGCTAAAATCACATGTATTTTCTGCCGTTCTATCTTGAATGTCTTCGTCATTTCTTGATATTTGTAACAGTTGGGCTCAATAAACTTTTCAAATCACTACATTCAATTACCTAAAAGGGACTGACAGCTTAAAAAGAAAATTCAAATAGGCCAAAAGTAACAGAATAAAACAAAAGGTCATATATGTTTCAGTGAGCAAAGCTATACACATAGTAAACCCTTTCAGACCAAGCACTTTACATTGTCACCGTAGTCATGCAATTTTCCTGGACTTAGTCCAAAGTGATTCTTAGCTCCTGAGGGTTTACTTCTGTCCTTTTCCATGCCCACCCTAGTCCCTACTAACCCCAGATCTGGTTTCCACAGTGAGGGCTTTTTCCTACAGCTTCTTCTTCTAACACAAGCTAAGCAAATCTTCCAGTCTTGTTTCAATTCGTTCTGCAAAGATTTCCATTTGATTGCAAGTTTCCACCCATATACCTGCACAGTTAGCCGTAGCAATACTCAGCTTCTAGCTGCTCTCTCTTTCCTGGAACACTGCACTGCCCGAGAAATTCAGTGACTTGTTTTTAAAGAAGAAACTTGCAATGCGTTCTTACAATGGCTTTCCAAGGTCTCTTGCCCCTCCCAAAGCCTATTTCAAAGGTCATAGTCTAGTGATAGTCACTAAACCCAAACTTGCTTTAATCTTGAAAGTAGATGGATAGGTTAAAGCATAATCTTTTGCAGCCTAACATGGTCAATACCTTCTCGGGACTTTGAAAAAGAGCACTCTAACCACAGTAAACATATATGCTGCTCTCATTATTGCCAAGAGTAAACACCTTATGCCTTCTTTCCAACAAATAACTTGGACCTCCCTTTAAACATTAACAGGCAAGCTACACAGGCCTGTTGCTTAGTTCATTTCAGAACAGGTCACACGATTGCATTCATTTTCACCCTGAAGAAAGATTCAGTCCCAAACATAATCTGACAAGCATTATAGCTGTAATATAATTCTTTGCAGTTGTCTGTATTATACGTATTTTTTTACCTTACATGACTCTATTCAATAAGGTTATACAGCAGCTTGTCTTTTTTCACTCACTGACGTGACTGGCTGGGTCAGCATTAATTGCCCATCCCTAGGTGCCCTGAGGTGGTGGTGGTGGGCTGCCCTCTTGAACTGCTGCAATCCCCATAGTGTAGATACACTCACAATGCCACCACTAAGGAAGGAGTTCCAGGATTTTGATCCAGTGACACTGAGGAACAGCAAAATATTGTCAACTCAGAATGGTGTAGGGGAACTTGTAGGTGATGATGTTTCATGTAGCGTAGTTGCGGTCATGAAATTAGAACGTGCTATCAAATCAGCCACGGGGAATTTCTTCAATGCATCTTGTGGATGGTACACAGTGCTGCTATTGAGCATGGGCAGTGGCAGGAATGAGTATTTATGATGTGGTGCTAATTAAGCAGGTTCCATTGTCCTGGATGGTGTCAAGCTTCTCAAGTGTTGTTGAAGCTCTATTCATTCCAGGCAAGTTGGGAGCATTTCATCACACTCTTGGGGTATATCTTGCAGAAGGCTTGGACAGGCCTTGGGGAGTCAGGAGGTGAGTTACTTATTGTGGTTGGTCGGCTCGCCGAGCTGGTTCATTGTTCCGCAGACGTTTCATTACCCTGCTGGGTAACATTATCAGTGCAGCCTCTGATGAAGTGCTGTTGTGTTTTCCCACCTATTATTTAAACTTTGGTGTCCGTTGAGCTGGATTACCTCACTTCCAGTTTTTCTTCGCAATAGAGTGTATATGGGGTCGAGCTCTATGTGTTTATTGATGACTTTCTTAGTGGAGTATCAGGCTTCTAGAAATTCCCATGCTTGTCTCTGCTTTGCCTGTCCCAGTATCCTAGTGTTGTCCCAATCAAATTGGTGGTTCTTGTTATCCAAGTGGATGGAGATGAGTGAGTATTGGTAGTGTCTTTTTGTTGCCAATTGATGTTCATGTATCCTAGTGGTTAATTTCCTTCGTGTTTGTCGCAGTCTTTGCAGGGAATCTTGTATATGACATTGGCCCTGTCCATAGTGGGTAGTGGGTTTTTGATTCAGGTGAGCAGTTATCGTAGAGATGATATGGGTTTGTGTGCTACTCTGATGCCCAGTGGGTGTAGGAGTCTTGTGGTCAGTTCAGATGTGTTCCCGACATAAGCGTGGTGAGTGTGTCAGGGCTGGTGTCTCCTCTAATTTGGTGTGGTCTGAACTGACTGCAAGACTCCTATGACCACTGGGCATCAGAGTAGCACACAAACCCCCATCAACCCTATGCTAACTGCTCACTGGGACCAAAGACCCACTACGGACAGGACCAATGTCATATACAAGATTCCCTGAAAAGACTGTGACAAACAGGAAGGAAATTAACCACAAGGGTACACGAACATCAATTGGCAACAAAAAGACACGACCAATACTCACTCATCTCCATCCACATGGATAAGGAGAACCACCAATTTGATTAGGATGACACCATTGCAAAGGAAAACCAGAAGTGACGTAATCCAGCTCAACGGACACCAAAGTATAAATAACAGACGGGAAGACACAACAGCGCTTCATCGGAGGCTGCACTGATGATGTTACCCAGCAGGGTAATGAATCGTCTGCGGAACAATGAACCAGCTCAGCGAGCCAACCAACCGCAATCCGAGCTACAAATCGACTCTAAAATCTTGGTGAGTTACTTACTCCAGGATTCCTAGTCTCTGACCTGTTCTCTGCATTTATATGGCTAGTCATATCAATTTTTGGTCAATGGTAACATCCCCCGGGAATTAGGGCCAGGCCATTCAGGAGAGATGTTAGGAAGCATTTCTATACTGAAAGGGTGGTACATGTTTGGCATTCTATTCCATAAATGGCAGTGCATGCTAGGTCAGTTGTTAATTTTAAATCTGAGGTAGATAATTTTCTTTTAAGCGAAGATATTAAGGGATATGGGCTAAAGGCAGGCATATTGAGTTAGGCCACAGAGCAGCCATGATCTCATTGAATGGTGGAGCAGGCTCAAGGGGCTGAATGGCGTACTCATGTTCCAATGTTCCCTATGATTCTACAGTCACCAGTCAAGGAAAACAATCTATCTATATCACAAAAGAAAATGCAAGGTTCTGATCATAATGTACATCACTATATTTTAACTTATAATTTGCTTGCTTACAATCTTTCTAAAATATTTCTAGGTTAATAAATAGGTCATGCAAATGGCCTAATATCTTTCCAATTCTACTTATAAGAGTTCTTAGAAATAAGTGCGCAAGAACATTAAGGCTAAAAACAGTCTTTGCTTGCTCTTTCTGTCGAAAAGCATTTATCTCAGCCAGTTAACATTATCAACTTAATCAGAACTTGCAGAATTACTAAAATGAATGTCTATACTGCCACAATATGCACCATCACTTTAGCCCTGGAATTCAACACATTAAACAACATTTTCAAGCTAAGTTGAATTAAACCAGTCCATTGAACTATTGCGTAAACAAGCATTTCCAAATTTTTACTGTGGATAGCAAGAAAGATCTGGTATAACAAGGTGTAGAGCTGGATGAACACAGCAGGCCAAGCAGCATCAGAGGAGCAGGATTTCC